GCTAGGGTACAGGGCCCTCTGAGCAAAGGTAAATTACCTAGGACCAATGTAATGAATTAAAGCCCATGGTCAATCAAAAGTTCCCGAGGAGGTTCAAAAAAAGGCCTCGATAGCACTGAAAGGTCCTCCGCAAATAAAATAGAGGGGAAAGAGCCATAGATCAAAGTAGAGGGCCCATGAACATCGCGTGGCTCTATGCCTTACCTTACATGAGCCCCAGCGATAGCACAAGGCCCTCCGAGCAAGTGGAAGGAATCCAACACCATTGTGAAACGCCTTGAGAAACTGAGCGTACCCTGGCATATAGGGCCCCGTAAAAAGCGTATAGAGCCTTTCGAGCGCATGGAAATAATCCGTGGAGGAAATCCTGATCGATCAAGAGTGCGCAGACATGTAAGCAAATAGTGTCACAACAGAAGCGTGGGACCCTGCGAGAAAACGCAAAAAGATCACGGGCAACATGGAAGGCTCCTCAGCGGTCAGACTGACCCGACGGTTGGACCTACAGCGTCCGGGTGAAGTGTACGGCCTCTGTAATGAGCCGATGTATGAGTAATGTATGTAGTAATGAGTAAATATGAGTAAATGAGCCGAGTAATGTAATGAGTAATGAGCCTCAAACTTTGTCCCAAATCAACACCTTCTCAATCAGCGGAGAATTATCATTGTCTGCTTGGACTCAATTGTCTGCATGCATGTCTCGATGCACGTCTGGTACGCAGCATGCATCAATATCAGTATCATGCCAATTTTGTACCAAAGAGCATCAAGTAGGTGTCTCATGCTTTTGACATTGATTGGTAGCATGAGACGCATCGACTTTTTAGGCCACTTTGCCATGTTTTTGTCGTGCCAAATCCTTTATATAGTTGGCCAGTCTGCGAATCCTGGAGGGTTTCTACCAGATTACACAGGTGGACCGGGGCGGCAATGTACGCCAGCTTTTTAACACATTGGGAGACCCAGATAAAAGGTAAGCAACGCTATCTTCAACAGTGAAAGGCTCGCACAATCGTGAATGTGAGAGCATTCGACTGCTGTCGAGATACGAGTTCTATTGTCTGGAATCGACAAACATAAGCGGATGCCAGCCACGCCGGGCGCGAAGCCCGAGAGCACTCCCGGCCCGACCGGCCAGAGCGGCCGGGTGGCCGACATGGCAAAGGCGATGCCAGGCGTTACATTGACGCTGCAAAGTGCCGGCAACAACTGCCACTTCAGTGGCAAACGTGCACAGCGACTGTGGTGGTCATCAGATATTCCACATCTGTCAAATCGTAACAACAAAAGACGCCCCACTCGGCCGCCTAGCGGTCCAAAGCGCACAACACATGAGCCCGCTGTAGGTTGCCGATGTTCCAGTCAGTCTTGTCGACGGTTATGCCCTCCCTCTCAAGTCTAAAGGTGGCCTGGAGCTTTTGGCGATAAGCTGGCTTTTCCATGCGGACGTGGTTCTTGTGATCAGGGGCGACCATAAAGTTCAGGGCCGACGGGTCGGGCGAATGGAAAGCCACTTGCCGGCAGTCTTACGGTGAGGCGCACGCCAGGGAGAAAGTCATCAACTAATTCAGAGAACGCGATCGGGCGACACAGCGCACATTCGTGTGCGGTGTCGCGCCACGCTACTGGAGCCCCTCCCAGGCCCGACCGGCCTCGTGAAATCGCCTCGGGGCAGCTCAGAAGGATGTCAGAGCGGTGGCGATGTAGCACTCTGAGGTGGTGTTGACGGGTCCTCGTTTTCGCCCTCGAAGAATCTTCCGTGATAGTCACGATTTGACGATCGTGAGGTCGCTGATTACAGCCTTTGCCGTTCATCCCATTTTGTCATTGCATGGTCATTAGAAGCCACTGCGGTCTTGATCGTGCGAAAATCTACATATCACTTTTAAGTGAAACATGGGTAACTTTTCTTTTGGGAGAGCCCAAAATGCACACGAGACAGGCAGTAGTTTCACACGGCCGGTTTGTTTCGTCCGCCTGCTATATCTCCACGAATCCGATACTTTGCAGTGTTAAACCAAGAACTTACAGCACAGTCGGGAGACCTCACTCAGTGTCTTTAGTACCTGTTCTAACAGGAAGAAGCGATGTGTTAGGACGACTACGATCACGTGATCGGATCATGGGGATCGAACGACACATATACCGTCGTTCGCATTTGCGATATAAGGGCTGTTTTCTTGGTTGTCATGGTATGTGCCGACTGCAATGCGTTATGATAGGGACGGGCATAACTTTTGTTTTGCATTTGGTTCGAGCCTTTTGATTGTGCGTGTTTCCACGAAGAGCGCCAGCGCTAAGTGTGGGCACTGACTCCACCATCCACCACCCACCATCGTAAAATTTCGGGTCGACGGGAAAACTTTGTAACGTAATGTAAATGCTGGAGACCTGAATTTGGGCTATTATGGAAAACTGTGAAATTTTACGTCGAACCCTGCACTTATATACATAGGCCATAGCTGTGACATGAAACGGCATATCAGTTCTAAGCTTAAGGTAACGCAGTTTGTGACAGGATGAATTTAACCTTTTAAGAGCTCTTTCTTCAACACTGGTATTTCCCCAGCATGTCGTGAGATAGTGCATGGGGCTTATTACGCGCCATTTACGGTTGTGATGCGGCCGCTGACCAAACAAACCTCGCCTTTCTCCGTACCTGCGACGCCTTAAGTTTGAACCGAACCGATGTGCTCACCGGCCTTAAGCCCGCTGCGCAAGCGAGTCATGCACTTAGACCTACGCTCTAACCACCGGGGTTTCGGCATGGCCAGTAAATGATATTTCAGTGCAAATGCACCTTCGAAATGGGATAGTTAGTGCAAATGAACCCCAGAAAAAGTACCCGAGGAACAACATGTAGGGCTACGGAGTGATCGCATGTGCCCGATCTGGTTAAGAAACGAGGGCCTCGACTTAAGCGTAGGCGCCCCCATTCAAATAAGAAATACCCATGACTCAAGGAAGAGGGCCTCTGAACGATCGAGTGCGCTAGAGAAGTTTAACAGATAGGGCCTCCGACAAGAGCGTAGGGCCTCCATTAAAAAAGGAAGTACCCAAGTCCCAATGCAGATGGCCCCCGAGGGCTCGAGTGCGCCCGAGCAGGTTATCAGGTAGGCCCTATACAGGAGAGCAGGGCCCGGCATTCAAACAAGAAGCCTCCAAGGCCCAGTGTCGAGGGCTGAGTGACTATTGGCTGCGACTCTTTAGACTCAGTCTAAAGACTGAGTGTACCCGAACAGGTTATCAGATGGCCCCGACAGAAGTGTAGGGCACTACCTTCAAATGCCCAATGTGTAGGGCCCCCAAGCAATCCAATGCATCCCAGCAGGTTAACAGATGGGGGCCCCGACAAGTGTGTAGGGCCCCCCATTGAAAAAGAAGGTACCGATGACCCAATTTGGAAGGGTCCGAACAACCAAGTGCGCCTAAGCAGGTTAACAGATGGGCCCCGAAAAGAGCGTAGGGCTCTAAGCGAGTGACAGCGAAATGGAAGGGCCCTAGACAAATGTAGAGGGACCATAAGCATATAGCGAATGTGTAGGTAGATTAACCGAGGCCAATGTGGAGGACCCTTGAGCAACCGAGGATACCTCGGCAGGTTAACATATGGGGCCTCCGGCTATAGTGTGCGGAGACTTTCCGGCACATGGGAAGAATCTGTGGAAAGCCCCTGATTGACCAGAGCGTCCCGGCACACTAGCAGGAAGGGCCCAGGAACAGCGCAGGGCCCTCCGGGCAAATGCAAAGAAATCAAAGAGAACACGGAAGGCTCCTTAACGATCGGATTGACCCTGCAGGTGGGCATAGAGGTCCCCGGAAACAGCATAGGGCCTCTGGACAGCGTAATGGGCCTTGAGATCTCCCAATCACTACCCTGCCAGAAGAAACATAACTTTCTTATGAGAAACAGCCCAGACAAACCCGACAAACCAAAATGCACCAATGTAGTGTATCAATTCAAATGCAACATCGAAGGCCGTAAACCTCGTTCTAAACACTATATTGGCGTGACCACGACACTCTTACAACGCCTGGCAATGCACTGACGTGACGGGGCACCTCTGGACCGCATGCAACACGAAGATGACGGGGCACCTCTGGACCGCATGTGACATGAACATGACAGGACATTGGCACGACAACAACTGACAGACAATACTGACATTTTACGGACGTACAATGACAGAAGACTTCAGATTTGTGAAGTATATTAATTAACTACTTCTCTCCAGCCCTAAACAGACAAACAAATTCTTGTACAACCCTTAAACTATTAGATGGTGGGCGGTGAGCACTATCGATGTGATTATAGCAACAGTGTTTCCATTGTATCTTTATAGTGTTCCCATTATGTACAAGTATGGATGTAGGGCAAGTAACAAACTATGACTCCCTGTCAGGCTTGCTCAGAAGTTTAAAGCAGTTCGTTCGTCAGGACGAATGCCAAACGCTGATAAATCACGTCTGAAGACCGATGTCTGGTGTGGTAGACGAAGGGCACCTGATGTAGCCGCGGCTATAATGTAGAAGGCAGAGGATATGCAAAATATGTGAATGCCAACTTAAATATGAAGCGTCAGGGATATTAGATAATAAAAAACGCATGAGCCTTTGAATTGTTTCGCTAAATTGTTTTCGGGTCATTACTTCATGGCAGGAAGATTACAGGGTACATGGTGCCTCAAGCCAACTATTGAAACAGGAGATACGGGACTCAACATATAACATGTTGTTGAAATAATCCCAGAGCTTCCTGCATGCTGTGCAATGCTTTATAGCAGCAAATATGGTGTGCACTTGTAAAAATTGTGGATATCCAACTGAGGCCGCGAGCCCGCCCCTCAGCTCTCACGTGATGGCTTAGACTGGGTGAGATCCGTCTCAAGTCCTTGGAGCTAAAGGTGAGCTTTGGTTGCATTCTGGTCTTAGAAGCCCCATTGGAGTCCCGCTAATCTTCCGCGCGACGTGATGACCTGAGATGACTTTCTTTCCTTCAGTCGCCACTCTGGAGAGATACGGCTACTATTCGGTTGGTGTTGGGCCCGGCTTCCGAGTCATCGTCCTCAACACCAACGTGGCCTACAAACTTAACTTGTGAGTCAGTGAGCGCCACGCGGCATTGCCCAGAGGCGTCGCAGAGTCCGTGGCCGAAAATCGATCCGATCAACGCGCTGGGATCGACCGGATCGAAAGGATCGATGCGCCCGCGTTACGCCAGACAGGGTGGTGATGTTCACCTTTCCGTAAGCGCGCGATTTTGAAGAAAAATTATGTATGCACCATTGCGCACCATCGTGGTCGTTCGAAAGCGGGTCACACATATCACAAAACGCGTGCTAGTTACTGCTGTTGGAACTGGGAAGTGCATCAGCTACAATGTTACGTCGCCGACAAGAGAGTGCGTGATGTCTGTGCACCGCTGACCTGTGCCCCGCGCTGCCCCAGTGTCGGCCGGCGCTGGCTAACCTGTGCCCCGCCCTGCCCCGGTGTCGGCCGGCGCTGGCTGACCTGTGCCCCGCGCTGCCCCGGTGTCGGCCGGCGCTGGCTGACCTGTGCCCCGTGCTATCCCGGTGGCGGCCGGCGCTGGCTGACCTGTGTCCCGCGCTGCCCCGGTACGCTGGCAGCTGGGTGCTGCTGACGGCGCAGCGCGACCCGTACCATCAGCTCGAGTGGCTGGCCGACGAGCTGCGAGCAGCCAGCAGGGCCGGCGAAAAGTGCCACGTGATCGGGCACATCTCGCCCGCCGACCCGGACATTCTGCCCGCCTGGAGTCACCTGTACCGCCGCATCATCCGCAGGTGAGGGCTGCGCGGGTATGGCCGGCCGGCGCCGAGCGTCGCACCGCCGGCGAGATGGTACGATCAGAGGCGGCCTAGTCGCGACCGCTGCGTGGCCGGGCTGCCTGCCCTCGCGGCGATACGGAGGTGTCAAGAGCGAAGCGTCTCTATGATTTTTAAGGCATGTACAGCTGTTGCTGCAAGTGCACTCATTCATGTAGCAATTGTGACCGGAATGCTGTTCTTTCACCGTGAGCGGGAAGCAAAAGAGGCAAAAGTCGCGTCGCTCAGTAGGCGCTGCCCGTATTTTGCGTCTACAGGCTTCGAGCAATCGATGTATTCAGGCGCTTACATTAACCATTGGTATGTGCTCTTTACAGCTACCAAACGACTGTGACGGCCGAGTTCTTCTCTCACACGCACGTGGATGAGGTCCAAATATCCAAAGACAAGAACGACGAGGCATTCGCCGTCTCCTATATAGCGCCCTCTTTATCACCCTGGAAGGACGTCAATCCCGGCTACAAGGTTTATACAGTAGATGGCGCCAGGGGAGCAGACTCAACTTGGGTAAGCATGCTCGGGACGGATTCAACATCTGACAACGTATGCGCAGGGTGCAACATGCACGTACCAAAGCGCTTAAGCATCATGAATCCATTTGATTTACGAAAACTAACCACACATCTGTCAATTGCTCTTTGACCCCCGGTGGTGCTAAACAGGAGGATTGTGCCACTAAAATCCCTCGCAGCCGTTCACATTTTACATAGCATAATGTAGTGAAAGCAATTAAAGTTATCAGGTCAAACATAATTTACGTTACCGATGTGATTGGGGGGGGGGGGGGGCGTTGGAGCGCAGCCGAAGCTTAACAAAGGGAGGTGTTTTAGACGGAAACATCAAGCTCAGGCGTGATGGCAAATCATGCTCTAGTCTTATTTTTTATTCTAAAACGCTAGAGAGGGACACAGTTGTCTTCCTCTCAGGACGAGCAGCACGTCCGCTTTTCTCGCATCTTTAGCCCAAGTAGGGGCCAAACGGGTGCTAACTTTTGCACCGTCTTTTGCACCGTCACTTTTGCTACGCCTGACACGACGCTACCAGACGGAAGGAGAGTCCTCTCAGCGCCACCAGGCGGAGGAGCAGGTTGAAGATGACTAACATGACTAACGCTATCTGTGAGCAGCCTTTTACAGCATGTCGCGAGAGACCTCTGTGTGATCGAATCATCGGACCATAGTCAAGACTCAGCTGTCCTCCCGCTGCCGTGATACCGGTTGAATCGACATGCAATCCGACGGGTTGGAGTGACATTTAATCTTATGACTATTGTTTTTTTTTTCTCGCCCGTGTCACGCCTGCTAAGCAATCAGACAATAATGCAACATTATACAAGGGCGGATCTCAGCGCAATCTCTGTTTTCTGGCGCTTTGTGCATACTATAATGAGGGCTGAGCCAGGTAGAGTGTCAGCATGGCCTGACCTGGCCTCACCCGATCTGACCTAAGGTGATCATGCACGGACGCACCTCATGCGTTGGCCTCCGATCTTCGGCCTGACTTGATCTGGCTTGAGTTTACCTGGGCCAAGGTACTTGACTGATCTGGAGCACTGGAAAATGATAACGACTTGATCTGACCTTACTTGACCTAGTGTCAAGGCTTCTAAACTTAACTAGACCACCGGGTGACCGCCTGACAACATTAAACTCAATTTAATCTGACATGACCCATTGCCGTGGAATTTGGCTAATCCGTAGCACTGAACGACCGCACTGACCGGACGATACCTTATCTGATCAGCTGATGTCATCACGTTAGCTGACTGATCTGAAGTGTTCGACGTCATAACATGACTTTACCCCGTGCCACAGGAGCTCACTCACCTGTAAGGCTGGGCGACTTGACCCCACCCAACCCGACAATATCTCACCCTGCATGAGCCGACTGACCTGACCATTGTCGCGGGAGCTGACTGATCTGGAGCGCTGGATCACCGACCTGACCTGACCTGACCCCGTATCGCAGAAACTCATTGACCTGGAGCGCTGCACCACTGACCTGACCTGACCTGACCTGACCTGACCCCATGTCGCAATAGCTGACTGATCTGGAGCGCTGGACCACCGACCTGACCTGACCTGAACCCCTTGTCGCAGGAGCTGACTAACCTGGAGCGCTGGACCGCTGACCTGACCTGACCTGAATCCGTGTTGCAGGAGCTGACGGACCTGGAGCGCTGGACCACCGACCTGGCCGACGCTAACCGCGACCCGGACCGGTACCCCGGCTGGTTCCTGCAGTACCGAGCCGCTGAGGAATACGGGCTCACAACACTCTCACCCGAACAGTGGAGCAAGGCCGTCAACGCGATGCTGCTCAAGGACCATCTCTTCACCAAATACTACAGGTGCGCCGTCACTGGACGGGCAGGAAGGCTTACCGTGCGGACCTGTTTCATGGCGTCCAGTCGGATCAAAGCAAGTGTTGCGCCTGACAGGAGAATGCAGCGAATAGTGCACCGTTCCGCATTGTTGCGTAATGTACACAGAGGGCGGCCAGGTGGCAGTTGACCAATCACAATATTTTCAGACTTTCGTTATCACGTAGGTATGCTGTTATTAATGATTGCAGAAATAACACAAACAAAAAGCAGCCCCGCACCAAGCGCCAGGTTTTTTACATCTGTGCCATAGGCGCAGGAACGTCTCAGAACGCGTGCGTGTCTGGCAGGGCAATCAAATCTTGGGGTGAGTAAGGGACCCCTCCCCCCCCCCCCGTTTCTCCGCCCACCAGCCGCGTTCGAAGCAGCAGAGTTACCTGACCCGCCGAGCTGCGGAATGTGCCCTGACCTGCCACCTGCCGGCGGCCGCAGGAACCTCAGCGGGGGCTCGCGTGTGCAAGCCGACTGTGACGGTGAGTGTCGTCAGGAGGTGATCTGCAACGTGGTGACAGCCGACCGGTCCAGCTCGCTACACTGCGACCTGGCGCGCGCCACCTACCGGGCCGGGGTCAGCCTGGGTCGGACGGACCCGAACCGGGCCGTCACCGCCCGCCGCAGCCTGCCGTGACTCGCCGTCGCTGCCCGCCGCAGCCTGCCATGACTCGCCGTCGCTGCCCGCCGCAGCCTGCCGTGACTCGCCGTCGCTGCCCGTCGCAGCCCGCCGTGGCCCACCGTGATCTGCCGCCGTGACCCGGCCTGCCGTTACCTGAATCCTGACCAGAGCCCCCTTGACCTGTCAGCCGAAACCCCAGCCAGCGCTGATTTTGACCCGGGGTACAACTAGGCCCCAATCTGGGATGCCAGCGCGCCCTGAATCGGCCGTTGCTCTGACATGACTTGGGCCGCCAGCGTAACCGCCCAGGTCACCAGCACGATCTGTCCCGGCCGGTCACCAGCGCGATCTGTCCCGGCCAGTCACCAGCGCGATCTGTCCCGGCCGGCCAGCGTAACCGCCCAGGTCACCAGCACGATCTGTCCCGGCCGGTCACCAGCGCGATCTGTCCCGGCCAGTCACCAGCGCGATCTGTCCCGGCCGGCCAGCGTAACCGCCCAGGTCACCAGCACGATCTGTCCCGGCCGGTCACCAGCGCGATCTGTCCCGGCCAGTCACCAGCGCGATCTGTCCCGGCCAGTCACCAGCGCGATCTGTCCCGGCCGGCCAGCGTAACCGCCCAGGTCACCAGCGCGATCTGTCCCGGCCGGCCAGCGCGAGATTCTCGGCCGCATACGGGCATCGGGCTATCGAAAGAGGCATTTTTCCGCCAGACACGGCCTCGGGCCAGCGTCGCTGGGCTGGTCTCGGCCCAGCAGCCAGCGTCGCTGCGCCGGTCTCGACCCCGCAGCCAGCGTCGCTGGGCTGGTCTCGACCCCACAGCCAGCGTCGCCGCGCTTGTCTCGACCCCACAGCCAGCGTCGCTGGACTGGTCTCGACCCCGCAGCCAGCGTCGCTGGGCCGGTCTCGACCCCGCAGCCAGCGTCGCTGGACTGGTCTCGACCCCGCAGCCAGCGTCGCTGGGCCGGTCTCGACCCCGCAGCCAGGTCAGGCACCAGATGACCAAAGAGAGGGATCTCGTGTGTTGCGTGGTTGTCGCTGGCGTGTTGGTCCCGGCCCATCGGAGTACAATGGCGGCTGGATATAGCCCGGCCCACCGGAGTACAATGGCGTCTGGATATATCCCGAGCCGCTCGATCGGCGTTCGCCCGCCATTGGTTTGAGACCGTGTGATTTAGGTGCGTCAGATCTGGAATCATATCGTATCGTTACGTTTGTCCGAAGCGAAATACAAGAAAGTGAGATTATAATTGGTGCTGTCAGTGGGCTTGCGAAGCCATGCGCATTTTACTCCGCTTCAGCAGAGTTAACACGGACACTTGCAGCTGAAGGCGGTGCCAGCCCCATTCGCTTCGTAGGCACTGGGCCATTGGCGTCCAGGCCTTTGCCATAACAACCAACCGTGCCGGGCTTGTGAGCAGGCTTCAATGAAACTTACTCAGGTAGCAACAACCCACCACCTTCCGCCATAGACCATTGCGGTCGTGACGTCCTATTACATCGGATTTAACGACATACCGACGGCATAAACGTCACAGGTAACACCGCCCGGTCAAAGAGGATCGAATTGCGATAGTAGGACATAGATACCACAAACGTGCTGATGACATCCTTCACAGGCTGCCACGATAATATCATCTGTGGGAACCGATGGTCGTCCGTGGATCCGTGGATTCACTGATCTGTACAGTCAAATAATTTGTTTAGCCGGGTCATTGCTCCAAAGGGTTATCTCCAATGGATCTTCCCCGTGTTGAGTCCGCTGTGGTTGTTGGCCGCTGCTAATCAGTCTCCCATCTCCCAACACGAGCTCGACTGTCCGCGAGTCTATTTCGACTTGGTGCTTGTTCCTGCAGCGGTACTCACGTGTTGCTCTCTGATCGGCCGTCCAGGTGTGTCATCACTGGTGTTCTGACCCGGCACGCCCGGCTCAGCCCTCCGGACGTGACGTCCCTGGTGTTCTGACCTGGTCCCCCCCGGCTCAGCCCTCCGGACGTGACGTCACTGATGTTCTGACCTGGCACGCCTGGCTCAGTTCGTGGCGCGCACCAAATCACTGTTATCAAACCGATAAGTCGGTATAATGTACCATTCAGAGTGAGCCTGTTGAGTGATTCTGGGGCTGGGGGTCAGCTATATGCCAACTCGCTGGTTGGCCGCGATAGTTTCTTCGCTTCACCTTACTGTGCTCATTCAGACTACCATAAGCGGATGAGGGTCCGCTTTTGGGATGAGAGTCTGATGAGTGCCCCTCGCTCCGGCCTGCGGACTACCTCCTGAAGTGGTCTGGTGTGCCTGTGCAATAATGTCGTTGCCGAGGGTGATAAGCGTGTTGGACGAGCTGTCGCAAGGCGTAATTGTCACCTAGAAGGCCCAGTTTACACGATGAACAGTTAATGTCAGAGCTGTTATCCTTATGCAGCAGCTAAAATGTTATGCAAAAACATCACCTGACGCATGTAAACCTGCTATGCCCGATATTTTTTGTTCTACCTTCACAGCTAAACCTGTAAAATTATACCCTATAATCCCAGGGTGGAATAATGTTACTCGGATAAAACTGTGCCTTCACGCGGAGGTCCGGATGTCCACACTCGCCTGGTGTCTTCTGGGTGCTGATTTGGCCACGGTAGTCGCTGCCGCCCCTTAAAAGGCCGCGCATCCATCCGCTCCGCGCCACCTTTCTTCCATGAATCATCCCACAAAACGAGGTGACATGAACTGCGGTCCAGAACAGTCAAAGCCGCTGCGACTCAACAAAGCGGACTATGATTACCAGGGGCGGATCCAGGATTTCGTCAAGGGCGGGGGGAGCAAGCAACATTGTGAGCCCCCCTAGAGTTTAGGCGCCCCAATCCTGTAGTACTTGCATCCATGACATTTAGTTTTTCATGTTGCATATATATATATATATATATATATATATATATATCGTATCGTACATGTATATATATATATATATATATATATTCACACATGTGATGCATAGCTAATACGCGAGCCCGCCTTACAATGCGCAGCCCAAGAAAGCTAGGCTTTCTAAGCGTGCACATACATGGAACTTGCTCATTTTCTCCAGATCATGATAAATCCGGTCACTTTAGGCTAAACCCAGCCAGCTTGTCCAGCTGGGACCCATGTGGGTCCGAGATGGGCAGTTATATGAGGCCCATCAAGGCTGCGCACTTCACTCCCATGTGGGCATGTCATGGACAACCACCTGAGCCCCACATGGGCAGCCCACCTGGAGATCATATGGGGCCAAGATGGGACGCACATGGAGCCCACCTGGGCTGCCCAGTGGAACCCACGCAAGCATGGCCAACTACGGTCCCACATGGGCAGCCCACCTGTGGCGCACGTGGGGCCCAACTGTGACCCATATGAGCCCACCTTGGCCACCCAGTTGGGTATGTCCAGCTGGGACCCATGTAACCAGCCCAGATGGGACCCGTATAGCCCAGATGGGACCTTTTTTCCAGGCAGACCAATGGTCCGCCGTAATTTCAGGCAAGCCCGCTTCATATCGTCAATAATAAAGCCAGGTCAAAGTTTTATTCACCATGTATTTGTCCAAATTGCCTCCGTAGCAGCCACTGTCGCACAAAACATACACTTTTCACGACACGGGCACTCTCTTAGAGTGCGTGTGTGGAAACTCAATGTGAGGCCACTTACAAGAAGTACTTGCACGAAAGCCGACTTGAGTTTGTACGTTTTCCTTTGGTTACAATTACAACGGAATCCTAGGATTTCGGAAAAGCAGGCAAAATAGACCAAAGTCGGTTGCTAAATACCATCAAAATAAACACGGAATTGGTTTCATGCTCATTTATGGCTAGCCGGCCGGTCGATGTGATCAGCTGATAGCTGATGACTAATACCGTTTTTTTTTTCTCTGTTATAAAGGATTTCAAAACATCCTAGCATTCAAAATGCTTTACTCATATAAATATTTCAGTGTTACGCATTCAAACGCCCAGGGAAATGGCATATACGGCGTCAGCGGCGCGTCAAATTATCTTCGACAATCGCACATAAGAATTCATCGGCGCATGCCGCACTGCTGCTCTAAGGCTGAGGCACCAAGCCCAATAGGGACCTAGCCTGGGCGATCGTTGGTGCCGCGGGGGCCGACAACGAGGCTTCCGTCAACCAGTATAGGGTCCTCAGAGCAAGCGAGAAGAATCCAAGACCAACGTGGTGGGCTCGTGAACGATCAGTGGTGCCCCGGCAGGCTGACATGTAGAACACTAGGCAAAGCACATGTCCCTCTGAGCAAAGGGAAGTTGCCGAATACTAATGTAATAAACTAATACCCCTGCGCGACCAGGAGTACCCGGGCAGGTGAAAGGAAAGGGCCCGATACAGGAGTGAAGGGTCCTCTGCAAATGAGATCAAAAGGAGAGAGCCCCAGCGCAAAGTGGAGTGCCTCTGAACATCGCGTGGCGCAGTACCTTACCATATATGAGCCCCAGCAACAGCACAAGGTCCTCTGAGCAAATGAAAAGAACCCGACATCAATGTGAAGGGCCCCGGAGCAACTGAGTCTACCCTGGCATATGGGGACCGGAAAAGCGTGTAAAGCCTTTCGGGCGAATGGGAAAATCCGTGGAAGAAAACCTGATCGATTAAGAGTGCCGGGCATGTAAACAGATAGTGTCCCGACAGAAGCGTAGGGCCCTAAGACAAAATGTAAAGATATCAAGGGCAACGTGGAAGGCTCCTAAGCGATCAGATTGATCCGGATGGTGGACATATAAGGCTCGGGCAACAGTGTAGGGCCTCTGGACAGCGTAATAAGCCCCAGACTTCCCCAGTCAACATTTTCTCAATCAGTAAAAATTAACGTTGTCTGTTTATGGGCTCTTCACTTCCGCTTGCAACTGTTCGTGGCCGTCTGTAGCCCAATGGCGTCCAATTTTGCTATGTTTTGTGTTGGAAAACTGCGTCCGTTCCGCCGGTTATGGCCCCCTTCAGAGCATACGGGTTCCCTCGGGGCACAAGGGGGGCATGGTCCCGTGCTTCTCCCTCCCTCTTCTGTATCCGTCACCAGCCTGAGCAGCTTAATAGGTGGGGCCTTGCCAAGAGCATAGCGCCATCCATTTATATAAAAAGTACCCAAGACACAACATGGGGGCCCCCCAACGATCGAATGTGACCTAGCAGGTTAACAGATGGGGTCCCCGACAAGAGTATAGGGACCTTCATTCAAGTAGAAAGTATCCAAGACCCCATGTAGATGATTCCGGGACGATCGAATATGCCCGAGCAGGATAGCAGATAGGACCCCGACAGCAG